CATCAGACTACCCAGCTAGCTGCATCAGGTTCATTCCTGCTGCCAGTGACAGGCCCTGAGGACAACAGCAGAATCTTCCCTGACTCAGATCTCCATCTTCAGGGGCTTAAGGGCATGAAAGGAGATTATGGGGCACATAGGGATTACAGTAAGACAATGATCAACAGACCTTCCATAACAGGGGGTGAGGTGGTATTCCTTTCAATGACTCTCGTCTCTGTTTTCTTCCTCATAAAAATCAATCAGTCTTTGACCTCTGGGTACTAGTGTTAGAGACACATTCATTTTTTGCAGCTGAATCCATATGAGATGAGAAAGGAAGAGATCATTACCAAGGTCCCTCCTTAGACTTAGAACACTCTGTGGAGGGGGGCAGGTTGTTAAAAGATGAAGCAAAAGCAAAGAATATTGTCTACACCAGCAATCCCAGAAAGACTGATCCTTATTTAGAACCCAACCTGGGCTACATGGTAAGACCCTGATTTGACAGGAAGTGAGGAGGAGGAGAAAGAAGCAAGAAGGGACAAGAGAAAGAGGAGGTTGGGCCTGGTGCCCCCTGTAACTCTAACATTGGTAAGTCTGTGGCACAGGGAGGCTTTGAGGCCAGCCCAGGCTACGCAGTTAAACTCTGCCTTAAAACAAAACAAAACAAAAAAGTGGTAGTGGGGTGTCTGGGGTGTGGCTCAGTTGGTACAGTTCTTGGTGGATCACTCCTCAGTGCTGCAAATAATCTGAGTATTTGAAAAATGCAGGCAGGAGCATTAGAAGTTCAAGGTCGTCCCCAGCTAAGTAGAATATGAGATACACCTGGAATACATAAGACTCAGTCTAAAAGCAACAACGAAAAATTAGGGGAAAGAAAGGGAGGCCTGGAAAGACAGACAAAAGTATAAATTTGGCTGGTTCTGTTAGTTAACACGAGTTTAATTCATCTCAAACAGCATCAGGAAACTGAAGCAGGTAACATGAGGGTGAAGAGAGAGTACAAAGACTCTTTAGTGACTAATCGAATCATAATCGGTCCTTTCTTCCTGCAATTATATGTGAATATAATTCTCCTTAGTACCTTTTTCCCTGGTGCTTTCATTATAGGAACCTGGCAAAAGTCCAATTCCTTTGCTTGAGCTGTGACTCACTGAAAAAGAAATACCTGTAAGCATAGAGTCAGTTAACACTGGCTGACAGCTCACCAAAAAGGTGGCAATTGACCCGGAAGTTGTCATCACATGTGGAAACACACAAGCTAGACAGAAACTGTCAACAGTTCACTTACACTCAACAAACTGACCTGAACCTTCAGGAATAAGAGTCCCAAACACAAGGTGTTGAGGAGGAAGCCCAGGGATGAGAAATGAAGAAGACAAAAGCAATACCTGGGACTAGAATATCTTGTATAAGCTGATGTGTAGATGAATTGCTAAAGGGTCTTATTAAATAAAAACCTGGAACTAGATATCAGAGTTGAAACCTGAAAGATCACAGGAATAGGAAAAGCCACAGCTAACCTCACCTCACCAACTCTACAGCTTCCAAAGAGAGTTACTTCCTGTATATCCACACCTATATGCCTTTCTGTTCTGCTATCCCATTTGCTCTGTCTGTCCAGCTACATCACTTTCTCTTCCTGCCCAGCTCTGTCACTTCCTGTCTGTCTGTACGGACCTCCAGACCTCCATGGTTAACTAGTGTTGGAATTTAAGGCGTGTGCCACCACGCCTGACTCTGTTCCCAGCGTGGCCTTAAACTCACAAAGATGCAGACAGATCCCTGCCTCCCAAGTGGTAGGATTAAAGGTGTGTGCCACCACTACCTGGCCACTATGTCTAATAGAGTGGCTGTTTTTTTCCTCTGAGCCTCAGGTGCATTTTATTGGGGGACACAGTATATTGGGGAATACAATACATCACCACACTGATGACTTATACAAGAATGTTTATTAAGAAATTCATCATCTTATGTGCTATTAGCAGGGGATAGTTGCCAAGGTCAGCAGACAGCCAAATGAGATAATGTTAGGGAAAAGAACACAAGGTACATCAGACATAGCTGTTTTACAAGTGATACTCACAGCCCACAAGGAAAGGAAGAGTCATATCTCCAGAAACTGCCATCTTGACTCCTTCAAGGCATTGGCCCCAACTTCAGACCAACCTTGCTTGCCAAGTTCACTCCTGGACAAGAACACAGAACTAAAGTTCTTGTTGTTCTTCCATCAGAGCCTCCTTAGTCGGTCTACCTCCCTACAACAAACAGCCAGTGTTTCCTGTCAAGCAAGGTGCCCGGAGACGAGAAATGGCGTTTAATACAGGGCAGGTGAGGGCTGAACAAATTGCTAGTCTGAAATAAACTAGCCAGCTCTGGAGAGATAGGATCACAGGAGGAGACTGGAGCCAATGAGGGGCTCAGATTTCTCACACAAAACAGTGTCTGGACCGAGAAAGCATGGGTGGCCAAGACCCAGAGAGGCTGAGCATCCCATTTCCAAATGGAAAGAACAGACAGGGATGGCTACCTGTAATCCAAGGCTGAGGCAGGAGGATCAGCACAAGGTCAACCAAGGCCCTTATTGTGAGATTTTTGCCTCAAAAGAAAGTTTTTAAATAAAAAA